CAAACGACAGAAAAATGACACTTTTATGACTATAAATGTAAAAGTTTTACGTTTCAGAATAAAAACACATTTTTTTTGCCTAAGCGTTTTTCACTTTTACCTGACATTTATTATGACATGTACCAATGTTGTGTCTTTCGCTGCATTTTCTGGAGAGGTACATTGTAGATTTTTCTACTTTTTGCACTACTAACTGCACTAGTCACCCACTAGTATTTTTTCGTTGCAAAGCTTCCTGATTATTTTGTTCATTTACTTGATAATTATTGTGTTGCTCTTTACTCTAGATCTGAATTCGTTTGCGGATAAAATAGTATATGTTGTTTGGAGAAAAAGTGAGTTTATGTGGCTCAGGTGAATTATTTGCTATTCCTTTTACTTTTAATAACATAATATACTATTTCTTGTGTTCAAGATAACTTTTTGAATTGATATTTAGTTATGTTTAAAATAGAATAGAACTGTAATTTTTTGTGTCTGTACTGCAAAAGGTTTCAAGTTTATTATTATGACCTTTATTATTTTTACTCTCGTTCAGAAAAAAAATGGTTTGAACTAGGGCTCGAACACCAACTTTTCGAGTTGGTCTTTACTTTTTTCTCAGTATTTAACAATGAAACGATTTCCCATTGTTTTTTTTTTACCAAAAATCGTAGAAAATCGCTGTTATCGCTCAAAATTACGTTATTTATACACCAGGAATAAAATAAATGTAAAACTTTGGCTTTTTTAGTGATCTGTACTCTACTTTTTTATTCTCTAATAAATGACATAAAAGTTTTACGTTTCAGACGTGGAAGAAAAACACAGTTTTTTTGCCTAAAGCGTTTTTTTTTACCTGACATTTATTATGACATTTACCAATGTTGTGTCTTTCGCTGCATTTTTTTGATTTTCCGACTTTTTGCACTACTAACTGCACTAGTCACCCACTAGTATTTTTTCATTGCAAAGCTTCCTGATTATTTTATTCATTTACTTGATAATTATTGTGTTGCTCTTTACTCTAGATCTGAATACGTTTGCGGATAAAATAGTATATGTTGTTTGGAGAAAAAGTGAGTTTATGTGGCTCAGCTGAATTATTGCTATTCCTTTTACTTTTAATAACATAATATACTATTTCTTGTGTTCAAGAAATAGAAAAAAAATTGGTCGTACCAGGGTTCGAACCTAAACTTTTTGAGTTGATATTTAGTTATGTTTAAAATAGAATAGAACTGTATTTTTTTGTCTGTACTGCAAAAGGTTTCAAGTTTATTATTTTTACTCTCGTTCAGAAAAAAAAAATTGTTTGAACTAGGGCTCGAACCCCAACTTTTCGAGTTGGTCTTTACTTTTTTCTCAGTATTTAACAATGAAACGATTTCCCATTGTTTTTTTTTACCAAAAATCGTAGAAAATCGCTGTTATCGCTCAAAATTACGTTATTTATACAACAGGAATAAAATAAATGTTAAACTTTGGCTTTTTTAGTGATCTGTACTCTACTTTTTTATTCTCTAATAGTCAAAGTTTTAGCTGCGTAATAATGTTTATCCAAAAACGTCAGAAAAATGACACTTTTATGACTATAAATGACATAAAAGTTTTACGTTTCAGACGTGGAATAAAAACACAGTTTTTTTGCCTAAGCGTTTTTTTTTTACCTGACATTTATTATGACATTTACCAATGTTGTGTCTTTCGCTGCATTTTCTTGATTTTCCGACTTTTTGCACTACTAACTGCACTAGTCACCCACTAGTATTTTTTCATTGCAAAGCTTCCTGATTATTTTGTTCATTTACTTGATAATTATTGTGTTGCTCTTTACTTTAAATTTGAATACGTTTGCGGATAAAATAGTATATGTTATTTGGAGAAAATGTGAGTTTATATGGCTCAGCTGAATTATTTGCTATTTTTTTTACTTTTAATAACATAATATACTATTTTTTGTGTTCAAGAAATAGAAAAAAAATTGGTCGGACCAAAGTTCGAACCTAAATTTTTTGAGTTGATATTTAGTTATGTTTAAAATAGAATAGAACTGTATTTTTTTGTGTCTGTACTGCAAAAGGTTTCAAGTTCATTATTATGACCTTTATCATTTTTACTCTCGTCCAAAAAAAAATGGTTTGAACCAGGGCTCGAACCCCAACTTTTCGAGTTGATCTTTACTTTTTTCTCAGTATTTAACAATGAAACGATTTCCTATTGTTATTTTTACCAAAAATCGTAGAAAATCGCTGTTATCGCTCAAAATTACGTTCGTGAGTCACAGAATCGATAGTATCTGTGATAATTAATGTAATTAGAAAATAATTATCACAGGCTTTTGTGTCATTACCCCAAAACCGTAAAAAGTAATGAAATATTAATAGTATACAATTAACACCAAATGACTCATGTCGATGATTGGCAAAGTTGTCAAAACTGTCATTTCTGAAATGACAACGTGCTGTTTTTTCCTCCCAATCCGAACAGGATGTCTCATCGGATCCGCATTTTACTTCGTAAGTCACAAGAGCGAAAAAATCACTTTTGATATCAGTTTTGCAGATTATTGCGTTCGTAAAATTGGTTTTGCTGATAGTTTTACATCTGTCAAAAGGTCAGTGTCGATGTTTTAAGAACGAAATAATTTTTTTTCTTAGGACCTGAAACTGTGATAGTCATGAACGTTCTCTTACTGACATTAGCTGGAGTCACACTCCTTATTGGGACACTTCAGGTATTTTATTTCATGAAAAACAATGTTAAAAATGGAATTTTAAGGAAGACCGTGTTTGTGTTTTAACATTTCTCTGTTTCAATATTTGCGCGATGGCGACCCAAGGCTTGGGCCTCTTGATTATATACCTCACCACCAGCGAGAAAATCACGTTATGGATTTTGGTGGTTATGGTAATTGAGCAAAGTGGGTCAGTTTTCGATTTTTGCCAAATTCCCGAATTGTCTGATTTTTAGTACCGTTTCTGTACATGATTGCGATCGGGATAATCGAATATCGCGTTGTTAAAGAAAAACATATGCACATCGCTGATAATTACCGGTCGTATGGCCGCGTGGAGCAGCCCCGAGAAGCAGCCCCCACATCCCACATCCCGGTCCTCGCCTTCTAATTTTCATTAAAATCTAGTTTGGAAAAATCGTGTTTCACTTCGCGAGTGAATGAACCCGATTTTGCGACATAGACAGAATGTCGGTGCTCACTGTGCATAATTATCATTGTTTCCTAGCAGGGGCGTATCCAGGAATTAATTTTGGGGGGGCTATCTAAAAAATTTTTAAATGATGAGGGTAGGTCTACAGTGAGCGGCAAAATTATAGAATAATCTTATTTATATTAAAACTGAAAATATTTTGTTTTGGAAAAATGCTCGAACAGGTCAATTTTCTTTTTAACAAATACAAAATTTTTAACTTGATTTAAAGTTGTATCTTTGTTTTTTATTGATATTATTTCACTTTTTGGATAATTTTTTTTTTAAAACTATGTAATACACAATATTTTGGTGTTGCCATTTCGACAATTATCTATCGAATTCGCTAAAACAATAGGAGTTTCCATTAAAAAAAAAATGTCGCTGTCGTCATTACCCAAAAACCAAAAAGTGTAGAATTTTAAAACAAGTTGAAAATTGTGTATAAGGTGTTCTAGCGAGTTGGTAAAGTTCATTATTCAAAGAGATATAAACTTAATTTAATTAGATATCTAAGATGTGGCCCAAAGAAAATTACAATTGATGATTTCTTTTTAAATTAGTAAAAACTAAGGAAGTATCGAGAGATCAAGATAATTTGTCCTTGTATCCGAAAACGTATGTCCTGTGCATATGTCTGTGAAACGTCAAATAAAATGACAAGTGAAAAGGTAAAATCCCATGATCAAAAAGATAACTAAATTTATGATTTACCTTCAAAAAAGAACGGTCTTATTATTATACGTCGGCGACTAATTCCAGCCCATTTTGCCGTTTTCGACTTGTCATTTTATTTGACGTTTCACGTTCAATTAGTTCAAAATTAAAAATTCGGGCAGTACCTATTTTTCTGTCACTTTAAAAAGTTCACTGTAAACTACCTTGTACTGTCATCATGACTGATATTTGACAATTAAATTTATTTTTATTTGTTGTTAAATTTGTTAATAAAACAATTTGTCCGTCTTAGGAAATTTATTAAGATCTGCTGCCTACCCGTTATTATGCCACAAATCACTATTTTTGAAAGTAAATAAGTCAAAATGACATAAATACGACAAGAGTAAAAAATGAGGTTAGGAATATAAAGGTTGTTTTAGAGTTTACATTATGAAAATGACAGTACTGCCCGAAATTTGAATTCCGAACTGTACGTTTTCGGATCCACAAATGATTACAAATTATTTTGATCTCTCGGTATACAGGGTGATTCTTAAATAGACCGACAAAATTTTATCCTTGGTAGTATAAAATAAGAACATGCTGGAAAAAATATTTAAAAAATTCTTTGTTTAAACGTTCTTCAAATAAAATTTATTAAAGTTATTTTGGAAGTGAAACGTACGCCACTGATCTTTTCGCACAGATAGTGGAAACCATGGTATTAACGTACTTGATCATTGCAACAATTCATAAACGCCGTAAGTGGCACGGATCAAGGGGGTTTTGCCCCTAAAAGGTATAAACGTAAAAATGGTACAGTTTGTTTCCATTTATCCTTAGGAAGCTGTGATAAAATTTTGTCGGTCTATTTAAGAATCACCCTGTATATATGATTTGTATTAATAAGTGTGATTTAAAAAGAATTCAAATGTTTTTATCTAAAAAACTGTAGATCATAAGGTTTTTATATTAAAATGTAAATATAAAAAATTGAAGCTTTTGTTGGCAAGTTTGGGGGGGCCCTGGCCCCCTAGGCCCCTCCCCTAGATCCGCCCTTGGCGACAAAGCGCAGCCCGAGTACAAAGTTAGACTGGTAAATAGTTTTTTCCCCGGGTGTACACAACGCGAAACTAAACGAAATAATTGCAGACAACGACGATCAACAGACGAAAATCATCAATCAATTGCGCACAACAATCTCCGGATTGAGGAAATTCACCAATTATAGCATGACGGTGCTGGCGTACACCGCCAGCGGGGACGGGGCGAGATCCGAGCCCACCTTRTGCCAAACCGAAGAGGATGGTATTGCATTTGATTTTTTTAACACAATTAACACACAAACATTTAAACTGATGTCTTTTCTGTTCGATACATTGAATGAAAATTTATAGTGCCATCTGCACCGGCGGAAATTAAGGCCGTCCTAAGTGCCCCCGATAAAATACTGGTATCGTGGTTGCCGCCCAAATTCAGTAATGGGCCATTAGTTGGGTACACGTTCTACATGAGTCAAATGGAAGACGGCAGGGAGGAAGGGACCCACAAAAGGGTCTTGAGCCCTTCCACCGAAATGCACGAAGTTGAGAGGGTTAAACAGTCGTCCACGCTGGAGTTCTGGGTCACTGCATCCACAAGGGTACGTTTTTCAACCCCCAAAATCAACATTTTTTATTTTTTGTTTTTTTTTTCTTAGCTTATGACTTAAAAAATGAGAGTAAAAAATAAGAGCAATACTGTATTACTCCCTATAATAGTAACGATTAATTTGTCAATTTTTTTATTTTGCAATTTTTTGTTGTTTCGAGAGAAAAAAAATTATAAAAAATTTTACTTGAGTGCTGAATACCTACAGCTTTTAATTAATGCAATTACTTTGAGATGAGTAAAATTAGAATAAGCAAAGATTGAATTGTCCAAAAAATAGTCCGTGTTGTTTCTGGAATTTTTTTACAAACTTTTGTGTTTCCTTTTTCATTTTTTCAGTTTTATTCTTATTTCAAATAAATGTAAAAGGACTTTATTCTAGTTTTTGAAACTAGAATGAGATATCGATGATCAAATGCAAAAGGATTCTTTTTCATTAAAAGTCAAATATCTCGGCGACAAATTGACGTAAAAAAATATAAAAAGGTAAATGAAAGCTATTCGGTCCATACATTGATTTAATTCAAAAAAAATCCCAAATCTGTGGATCAAAAAAACAAAAAAAATACCTCGAAATATACATTTTTTTTCGCGCTATGTCTTAGAATTGCCTAACAATCGTAACTCAAAAAAAAATTTACAACATATCTCAAAACTAAAACTTGAAATTTCAAAAATTTCAAAATAATTTTTCTTCAGTCTAGAAACGACCATTGTTTACGAAGATACAGCTTTTCAAAAATCACTAAAAACTTAGGAATTTTTGTTCCCTTAATTTTTGGAGCAGTGTAGTTTCCTAATAAAAGCGAATTTTTTCAATCTTCTAATTTTTGGACTTGGATTTTCCAACCAGATTAAATAAATTGGTGTTTGGTACGAAAAACACTAAAAGCTTCCATATTTAAGATTTAATTTAAAAATTTACATTTAAGAAGATCAATTATGCATTTTCAATGGTAATATTTTGACTCTCCCAACGAAAACTATAGTAACTCATAAAAATTGGTTTTGAGAATGGTTTTGAGTTACGATGGCTTGTGTAGGGCCTAAAATCCAAAAACAATGAGAAAAATTTTCTCCGAATAAACAATATTATTACCAATACTTAGACCTTCAGCAATTTTCAATAATATTAAACAGTTCCTTGATTTTTTATTAACAATCAAAGATTCAAGGCAACTTTTCTCAAAACTGTAAATTTTGAATTATTATAGTTTTCGTTGGGAGAGTCGATTTATAATATCATTTAACATTTAAGTTTTAGTATTTAAAATTTAATTTAATTTAACAGTTCCCAAGTTTTAACTTTTTACGTTAAATGAGAAATAAAATTGATAAATTGTCATTACTGACATGAATCACATTTGAAAAGTAAAACTTTTCTCGAATTAATATGAAAAATGTTAGAGAATATAGTTTATAGATTGTCACAAATCGTCACTAATTTAACAAATGTTTGTGTAAAATACGAGATTTACATCGGTGTATCCTTGAATTAAGTACTTTTTGGTTAATTTAAAAGTATAAATTCAAAAATTTAGTAAAATGTCAAATCCGTTAATTCTTAAATTGAATCTTAAATGATAAATCTTAAATATGGAAGCATAAATCCACCATAAATTTTTAAGTATTTTCATAGTTTTGTATTTATTTAATTTTTCGTAAAAGTAGTTTTGTCAACGCTTTTTTTCAAAATCAAAAAAATATTGATTGCTTTCATCACCGAAATTGTGTGACAAAATGTTCTTTTTTATGAACTTTTGCTTATCTGTTATTTGCACAAAACACGACTTTACAGCAATTTTTTGTTTTAATATAATTGATTTTGATCTTTTAAGATTATTTTTTATAACATTTTTATGAAAAATTAAGTCAAAAAACGTTAAAAACACCTTGATTTTTGTAATTTTCTTAAGTGTTTCTTAAACGTCACAAAAGTGACCACTTTTATGACTAAATGTCACAAGTAAAAGTTCTACCTTTCAGCCAGGGAATAAAATTCTATTTTTGTGCCTAGGCATTTTTACTTTTACCATGACATTTACCAATATTACTTCTTTCTTGTCTCTTTCGCTTTTCAGCAATTTCTGGAACGCTACACTGTAGATAATCAGCATTCAACTTTTCACACTACTAACTGCACTAGTTAAATTAATAAACACTTTCGAAAATTACAACACAAATTCAGATACTAACGCTTGATATTATGATTTCATTACTTGCAAACCGTTCTGGATATTTTGTTCATTTGCTTGCTAATTATAGTGTTGCTCTTTACTCTCGATTTGAATACCTTTGCGATTAAAATAGTATACTCGTATGTTATTCAAATTAAAAGTGAGTTTTGTAGTTCAGCTGAATTATTTGCCTCACTACGTTCGGAATTAGTGTTTGGTTTGTAAAATACTAAAAGTTTTTTAATTTTTGAAGTATTTTCTTAGTTTTTTGGATCAGTTTCTGTGATTTTTTCCTCAGATCGGCGAAGGCGAAAGCACGCGCGTCATCACCGTGAGCCCCTCGAAGGCCGTTCCGGCCCGAATCGCCTCCTTCGGGCGCGAGGTGATAAGCGCCTGGAAGCAAAACGTCTACCTCCATTGCAAACGCGTGGGAATCCCCCTTCCCAACGCAATATGGCGCGTCAACGACCTACCTCTTGAGGTGGGCGGCCGAAAAACGATCTTCCCCAACGCCACTCTCATTATAAAAGACACTCAAAGCGTGGATCAAGCCAACTACTCGTGCAGCGTGGAAAATCAATACGGAAGGGACGAAATCGAATACAGCTTGAAAGTCCTCGTGCCACCGGAAGCCCCCGTTTTAAGCGTCGTTGAAGCCTTCACCGACAGCTTGCACCTGAGATGGAGCGATCAGGGGAATGGGGGCTCCCCCATCCTCGGCTACGTGATAAATTACAAGCGCGACCACGGGGACTGGGAGGAATTGCAAATTTCGGCGAGGACCGACGAACACATGCTCAGGAATTTGTGGTGTGGGACGAGGTATCTCCTCTATATAACGGCCTTCAACAGGATTGGCACGGGGCTGCCCTGCGATATCGTCACAGCCCACACGAAAGGCACAGGTGAGGGCTGTCCCAACCATATACATGGTGTATCAAAACCCACACCCCAGAGAAAATTTTAAGTAAGATAAGATACCAGGAGCATAAAAAATTCTAAATGTCAAAAAATTTTGACATTTATTTTTTGACATTTGACATTTTTTATATCTATTTAATGATACTGATCTTATATATGTTTTTTTTTATAATTACGTAGTAAAGGTACAAAAATTTTGTAAATAAAAGTTGCAATGATACAGCTTCCTTGTTTCCTCTTCTAATAGCCTGTAACAAAAAAACTTGGAAAATTATTTTTCCAACAGAAATAAATAGACTCAAAGGCCAAAATTTAAACTCTCATAACTTCGAAATTTTTTTAGATAGAATTTTTTTAACATTTTTTCCATGTTCCTGGTATGTTACCTTACTCTGGCGCAACCTGTATACAGGTTGACCCAAGGGTGTGTAACCCTGTATACAGATTGACCCAAGGGTGTGTAACTTTTTTGCTATTTGATTTATTGACATGCCGTTTTTAACATCCGGTAGATCTACATAAAGTGCATCATTTAAAAATATTTTTATTACATACAAGGTATTGTATATAGAGTGGTAAACCAAAGTTATTTTTTTAATGGTACAGCCTATATATTCTTACATTATGTATATTAATGGTACTTTATACAAAGTGGTTATACATGATTTTCATCTAGCCAGCTGTGAATTTTCCATGTAAAATAATGCCGCTTTACGAAAATAGGGGTACCTACTTGTTTTATCTCAAAATTAAAAAATCGCCGTTAACTAAGCGTCCACTTCGAAAATAGACTTCAATTATAAACTTGTTTTCTTCCAAAGTATACATTATTATCAATTTATTATTGGAAATTAATTGAAACAATAAAAGTTTAATTAACAACAATTTATTATTAATTAATAAGTGACACTAATGACAGAACTAGAACTTTCAAAAAAAAGTAGAGCGGCACAAATAAAGTTACATGCAAAAAAATTCCAAAGCTGGCTAGATGAAAATCATTTATAACCACTCTGTATAAACTATTATAGGTCTCGAAATTATTCAACTTTTAGTTGTAAAAAAGACCAACATTTGGAAAATCACTGCGTAGTCGGCTTTGAATATTTTCCGAAAAAATTGCAATTGAAAAACTTAGAATACCTTGTAGTTTTAGAAAATAATCGACTTTTAGCTCAAGCACGCAGACAGTTTACAGGGTTAAATAACTTTTTTTTTTTAAATAGAACACTCTGTATTTGTTTTCGCGTATTGATAGCATTTTTGACAAGCTTTTCAACAATTTGCAGTTTGTATAGTAATTTTTGAGTATTTCTCGAGATTTTCAAAAAAAATTATTGCAAGAAAATTTGTTACCTTTCTCAAGTAGGCTGCTGTCAGTGAATCTGATAAGTCAAATGACAATTTACTTTTTCACGAGAATACATTTTCTTACTAATTATGATGTACAGGGTGCTGCATTTAAAAATAAATGATTAAATTAATTTAAAAATTTAAAAATTTAAATTGATAATTTAATTTAAACCGCTAAAGTTGATATTTTAACGAAATATAAAAAAATTATATCTTTGTTATTATAGAAGATACGAATTTAAATTAAAATCATTATAGGCACTTTTTTACGTAGAATTTAACAATGTAGTTAACAATTTATTTCAATTGTTTATTTAGCCGTAATAAAATAAACTTGTATTTTCTCAAATGAAAGTCATGACATTTTTTAAAAGCTTATTTTTTCTTATCTAAAAATATCTATTTGTAACAGAATATTTTAATACATTTTTAGCAAAAAAATATCTTTGATTTTTGTTCCCAGTTGGACATGAAAAAATGTTAGATCTTGAACTAAAAGAATTCAATATTATGTTATTTAACAAATGTCATTAATAAAATAGGTTTCTAAGTACTAAGTAATGAAGAAAGTGCAAAATAATTCGTAAATCAACTTATTGGCGACTAATAAAATTTCTTTATTTTTAAACAAGTTAACATTACCATTGTAATTTTTAGAGACATATAGAGGGTTGTAAAAAAACCGTCTTAATTCTTTACTACTTTTTTTTTTGAGACAAATACCCAAATTTCGTCTACCATATGGAACGTTATCTTACCTCGAGTCGACCATCAAAAAAATGTTTTTTTTAATTGTGTTGCCTCTTGACAGATTTCTTTTTCCTATCTCTAGATTTTTTAAAAATATGTAATAATCTTATTCAGGCGATCGCATATTTGTTAGTATTTTATTAAATTTTCATCATTTCATCTATTTTTTCATCTTTTTCAGAGTTCACAAAACTCCTGTTGATTATTATTTACACGTTTTAAGTGCAATAGTTTCTCCATGGCCAACTACTATGTCAAACGAAATATGTATTTCATTTTTTAAATATTTACTACGTTTCCATGAGGAATTGAATTCGAATTGAATGGAAACGTAGTAACTATTATAAAAAAATGTTTCCTCACAAAAATATATTTTTTAGATCAGGAAAAAATCGATCAATAGAAGTTTCTAATTCTAATAAAAAGGTACATCCAGAATTGACAAACAACATACAGTGTTTCATTAAAAAAAAAACACAAGTTTGTATTGTAACTTATTTTTGGAACACGCTGTATAGTTAAAAATAATTTCAAGCGGTGCACTAGTTTAGTATTTATCAATTTCCTATATAAACTTTTAAAAATGTTAACTATTAATGGTCAATAATGGACTTTACTCGCTGGGACACCTGTATGTAAAGTTGACATTGTTAACCTTGACCTTCTATTCCACCCCGGTGTGTAATATACTATTTTTTTTATTATTTAAGTCCCAGTGAAGCCGAAGCAGTCGCAGATGCTCACCATGAACGCGACAGTGGTGACCATCTGGCTGGACTCGTGGGGCGACGGGGGCTGCGGCATCCTCTACTTCGTGGTGGAGTTCCGCCCCGGGAAGCACTCCTCGTGGATCATGTCCTCGAATCACGTCAAACCAACCGAACGAATTTATAGTATAAGTGACCTGTGGCCTGCCACCGAATACCAACTGAAAATCACCGCTCACAACAACGCCGGCAACACCGAAGCCTTGTACAACTTCACAACATTAACACTCTTAGGTGGTAAGCCGCTCATTTCGCCCTTGAGTCGTATTGAAACTTGTATGGTGTTAGCTGTTCCAGAACTAGCACCGCCAGTTTCCCACTCCGGGGATCACCCTTTTTATACCAACGCCAGGGTTCTAGTTCCCATCATTTTGTCGATTCTAGTGCTAGTGGCTCTGATAGCCACGCTCTTCTGGCGCAAAAGTGAGTAAAAATCGGTTGATTTTTGGGTTTAATTGGTAGCCCAGTCAAATTAGACAAAAATAGGGCGATCGGTGGAAAAAAAGCCTAAAAAGTTGGAATTTTTTTTTAAACGCTTTCTTTATTTTTAGGTAGACATATATCAAAAGTCCCCAAAGGTGGGGGGCGAGTTCGAGGAGGGGGAGGGGGCTAAAGGTGTCTTTTTTGTTTTTTTTGCTTATACCTCGGAAACTATTATTCCTAACGGGTTTTAAATTAAGGCCTACAAAATTTCCTACAAAAATGGTCCTTTGCATTTTTGTTGTAGGACTAACTGTAAGCGAGTTATAGGGCTGACAAAAACATCATTTAAAAAAATGTGCTTTATTCGCATTTAAAACAGAATTAATCTTGTGATTTGTAAAAACTGAAAGCAAATTGAATTTATTGGGTGCAACACTTTATTAGAGAGTCTATAAAGTCTTCCGAGTCGTCCTCATATGCTGCATCTTCGTCTTCAAGTTAAACAATGAAAACCGAATTACAGTCTTGTTCAGTACAATATTAATAAATAGATGATTTAATATCGATGATATGAATAAAACTTACAGTAAATTGAATGTATTGGATCCAACAGTTTATAGAGGGTGCCACGAGGGTCTATCAAGTCTTCCGAGTCATCCTTATATGCTGAACTAGCATTTGCCTGCGACGTTGTCCGCGTGTATTTCTGATATAAAATGGAAAAAGCCCGTTCACAAAACCATAGTCCGGTCAAATTAGTCATAAAAATAGTGGTCAAATAACGAAAATTCCGACAGAGCTAAATTTTGGTGGAGACCTTGGGTATACCATTAGAAATAAAGTGTCAAAAGTCCCCATCGATCCCATGTGTGCTAAAAAAGTTATTCGGGGTCAAAGGTCAATATTTGACGTTTTTTAGATTTTTTTCGAAAACGGCAAGTTTTATCAAAAAAGTAGCTCAGACGAAAATTATAGATCTTAAAATTATCTACAAAATGGTCTTTATACTTTTTTTCCAAGAATCACCATTCCTGAGATATAGCGATTTTAAAAGTTGAAGGAGTAACGTTCTACATCATATGCACATACAGAGTGCGCCAGAACTCGCCCCCAAAGACAAATGCCATGTAGGGTAAGGTACCAGGAACATAAAAAAAAATTTTWWWAAATTCTATCTATAAAAATTTCGAAGTTATGAGAGTTTAAATTTTGCACTTTGACTCTTATTTATTTCTGTAGGATAAATAATTTTCCACGTTTTTTTGCTACAGGTTATTAGAAAAGGAAACAAAGAAGCTGTATCCTAAGTTGTAACTCTGTTTAATATTCTTTTTAG